CTTTTCTGTTATCTAAATGTGTTCTGTTGTACATAGGGTTTTCAGAGGCCTGCTATTTCAGAAGTGGATGGCCAATCCTTCTTCCTAGTCTGTCTTAATGTGAATGTTCAGATTTAGAGAAGTATCAGACAGACCGCCTTTGAGCTGTGGTGCTGGAGAAGAGTGTTGAATGTACCATGGACTGCCAAGAAAACAAACAGATTCATTGGGGAGAGGGTTAAACCAGGCTACTCCTTGGAGACAAGAATTCTGGGGCTTCGTCTGACATACTTTGGACATGTTGTAAGGAGGGAGAGGGCCGTGGAGAGGGACATCATGTTTGGGAGGGTGGAGGGAGAGCACAGGAGGGGAAGACCCTCTAGGAGGTGGATTGATTCAGTGACTGGGATAATTGGGACGGGTGTGTCAGAGGCAGTGCGATTGGCACAGGATAGGGCAGGGTTTAGGGCTGTTGTACATAGGGTTGCTATGAGTCGCAAGAGACTCAATTGCACATAACAACAACAACAACCATGAACTGCTAAGAAAACAAACAGGTTCATCCTGGAGAAGGTTAAACCAGGCTGCTCCTGGAGGCAAGGATTCTGAGGCTTTGTCTGACATAGTTCAGACATGTTGTAAGGAGGAACCAGTCCTTGGAGAGGGACAGCACAGGAGGGAAAGACCCTCCATGAAGTATATGGATTCAGTGGCTGAGGTAATTGGGGTGGACGTGTCGATTGTTTAATAAATTTCACACTTTGTTGGATCACTTGTTTTTAGAATGGAAATATGAATCGATTTTAGTTGGTTGGCTATTTTCCAAATTTGATGGCATAAACTAGTAAACATGTTCAGTGCTGTATCTGTTAAAACACCTCAGCTTCAATTTCTGAGGCCTTATTTTTTTGCCAATGCCTTCAGTGCAGCTTGGATTTCTTCCTTTGTAACCAATGGTTTTTATCTTATGCTACTTTTTTTTTTAATTCGTTCATTGTTGCACAGTTTGCTTCCCTCTCCCTCCTATTCTGTTCCCTTCTCTCAGTGCACTTTGCAATGTACCTCTTGTTCCAGATTGTTGTCTTCTGTTACT